CCCCGTTTCTCCCGCATCCCCCCACTGTTTGGGTTTTCCAAGGTCTTAGCCTGGAGCAAAGGAGGCTCAGATGGGACCTTGTGGCTCTGCACAGCTCCTGACAGATGGGGACAGGAGGGGAGGTCGGTGCTGCTCCCAGGGAACCGGGACAGGAGCAGAGGGAACGGCCTCAGGCTGGGCTGGGGAGTTTTAGGTTGGATATTAAGGAGAATTTCTTCATCAGAAGGGTGGTCAGGCATTGGAACAGGTGGAGTCACCATTCCTGGAGGTGTTTGCCAAAAACAAATAGACGGGGCACTTGGGGCATGGCTTAGTGGCCATGGTGGTGTTCAGTTGAAGGCTGGAGTTGGTGATCCTGCACGTCTTTCCCAATTTTAATGATTTTCCGATCCTGTGTGAAATCCAGCCTCAGGTCTCAGAGGTGCCTTCACACTTTGTGTGCCCGACCCTCAGCCCTACTCCAAGCACAGCCCTGCCCGTGCATCCCTTCCAGGCTTGCACAGGGAGCAATGGGCAGCTCCTCGCTGGATTAAGGGAGGAGTGATGCCCTAGGGGGGCTGGAGGAGCGTCCTGCCCGGGCAGGTGTGGCCGTGCCGGGCAGCTGTGACTGTCCCCTGCCTGCAGCTCTGCGCAGGGCCCGGCGGCAGCAGCAGCTGGTCAGCAAGCGGCTCCTGCGGGAGGACAGCGCCGCCCAGGAGGGGACACAGGATGGAGCAGACATCGTGCCAGACCCGCTCTCAGAGGATGAGGTGAAGAACCTGATGTTCTCCGTGGCAGGGGGTCCTGGGGGTCTTGCCCAGACTCAGCATGTGAAGGAGGCTGGGCAGGGCTGGGTTTGGGAATGGTTCTGGTCACTGCCAGGCACAGTTAAGGCTCCTTTGCCTCAAGGATTAATGGGGTGCAGTCTCAGTGCTGGCAGTGCTGGAAGCTCAGCCAGCTCTGAATTCCCTGGGCAGGTTCTGGAGCTGCTCAGGGGTGTGCAGAGGGGTTCAGAGGACAGGAGGCGATGGCTCGGCCGCCTCCGCTGGGCTCTGCAGAACGAGGACACTCAGCAGAAGTTTGTCAGGTCAGCCAGGCCTGCTGTGCCTCTTACCAGGGACATGTCCTGAGGGGCCCCGTGTCCCTGTGCTTGGGTGGCTGAGCTGGGAGGTGACAGCAGCCTTTGGTCCCCAGGTTGGATGGCAGCATCAGGACGCTCACCGGGCTCTTCACCAGCAGCCTGGCTGAGCTGCAGCTGGAGGCTGCCCGCTGTCTGCACGAGCTGTCCCACTCCAGTGTCCCTGCTGTGGCCGAGGCCTGCCTGCCTGTCACCTCCTACCTGCTCACCTACCTGTCGGGACACAGCCTGGAGCTGACGGTGAGATCCATTCCCATGGGAACCCTTTGGGGTGCTTGGTGATCTCTGCTGGTCACACGTGGCTCATGTGGGAGCTGCTCAGGAGGGGCCCTCTGGAAGTAAAAATCTTTTGGCATCACAGCCTCACCCTCAGAGCAGGATTGTTCCCAGTGCCCAGGTGTTACAACCTGCCCTGAGCTGGGGTTACTGAGTTTTTGTGAGTTCTTGTTCATCACAGATCCCTGGGGTTGGATTAGAGTGGAACCACAGTGAGTGACACGTTTATGTACATACATATATATATATATATGGTAGGTTTATTTTAGAACACTATGCAATAGAAAGGAATCATTTTGGTTGTTATCTATAGAAATGACACAATATAAAAGTACAAAGATGTCACTTAAGAAAATATATAAGGAAAAGAAAGGATAAGAGTAGACAGAGTGGCTGTGGTTCCACTGTGCAGCTTGATCTGGGAAGGAGCAAACAGCTGCAGTAGCTGTGGGATAGCCAGGTGTTTCCAGCTGCTCCATGGGAAACAGGCTCAGAGCTGAGGAGGGAGGTGGGCAGTGACCCCACTGCTGATCCCATTTGAGTGCAGCACACAGGCAGGCTCCAGGAGAGCCAGAGGGGGCTCAGGGAAATGTCACCCTGAAAAACCTCCACAGTGGGAGTGATCAGATCCCAGCTGCAGCCAGACAGAAGAACAAACTGTGTGGGGTCTGGGGCTGTGCTGGCTGCCCAGGGGTCACCTCCTGCTCTGCTGTGTCCTTGCAGGAGCTGTGTTTGTACACACTGGGGAACCTCGTGGTAGAAAGTGAGGCTGTGAGGAAGCAGCTGCTGCCTCAGGGCATTATTCCAGTGCTGGCATCCTGCATCCAGGTGGGTGAAACAGCTCAGCCACATTTCTGCTGTGCCCTGGAGAGGCTTTTCTGGCTGACAGCCCTGAGTCACCAGCCCTCCTTCCAGCTGTGAGGAAACTCCAGGGAGCTGTTCCCATGAGCCTGAGGGTCACTTGTGGGCTCCCTGTGCTCATTCTCAGGGCTCAGCTCAGCACCTTGTGCTCTCCTCCAGCTGTATCTCCCCTGGGACAGTCTGTAGCACAGGGAGCCCTGTCCCCTCTGCCTTGCCTGGGTCCAGCAGGGCTGTGCTTTGCAGGTCCAAATGCTCAAAGCAGGAACTTCTGCTGCATTTGGGCTAAGCCCAGTGAATGTGGGGAGGGGAACAGCTCTGGTGTGGCCACAGGTTCCTGTGTCCCTCCTGGTCCCCTCTGTGCCCCCTCTTCTCCAAGCACAGCGGGGCTGTGCCACTCAGCTGGGTTTGGTTGGCACCCTGGGGCCCTGGCTCTGCCAGGAGGGATCAGCTCTGCCAGGGGGGATCAGCTCTGTGCTCTCTGTTGCAGTCCCCTCACGAGGCAGTGCTGGAAGGTGTGGGCTATGTCCTCTCTCAGCTCCTCCAAGCCAAGGAAGCACCCACAGAGATCATCCCGTGAGTCTGAGCCTCTGAACCCTGCACCAGGATGGGCCCTGGGACCTCCAGTTGTATTTGTGTGCTGGGGACACGAGGCCTTCCCCATCCCAGTGACATTCATAGTTGAGGGCACCATCCTGCCAGAACTGTTCAGGTTTTGATGCAGATCAGGGAGCAGGGCTTGGCTCCTTTCCCTCAGCCTCATCTGAGCAGACAGCTCTGGTATTTCATAAAGGCCAGCATGGAGCAGGGAAGGCTCACAGGGAATTCTGGCTCTGTTCCTCTTGCAAGGGAAAAGATCAACTTGACAGCCCCCAGTGCCAAAAATGTGACCCCAGTCAGAGTGTCCTGAGTGTCCCCAGGCCCTGCCATGGACAGGGAGAGCCCAAGGCTGCAGCCCTTGGCTCTGAGTCCCTTCCAGGATGGGTACAGCAGCTCCCTGCTCAGGGTCTGTGTCTCCCTGTTGGTGTCCTGCCTGTGCCTGCATTAACTCTGCTCTCTGTCCCCAGGCTGGTCCTGGACTCAGCTCTGCCCCAGCACATGCTCCAGCTGGTCTGCTCTGGCCTCAAGGCTGCCATGGGAGCAGCTGTGGAGTTTGCCTGGTGTCTCCATTACATCATTTGTAGGTAAATGCAGTTTGCTCCTCATTTTGAGTTCCCTGGGGGCAGCCAGAGGCACGAAGGCTCATGGTCCTGTGAGGGGATCTGGATTGCCTCCCCTTTTCCCTTGGGGAAGAATTCCCCAGCCAGCCTGGGTGTGCCAGCTCTCCTATCTGAGCACATGTGCTGTTTGCAGCATCACTGAGCTCTTTTACAGACTGGTAAAGGGGGATGAACCTGAGGAGGCTGTTTCTGGTCCTCTGAAATGCCCCCAAATTGCTTCCCCATGCCTGGAGTTGTCCCCCCACCCTTCCCAAGGCGAGGTCCGTGAATCCTCACACTTGTGGGGCTGGCCCAGGGCCCCCCATCCGGGCTGTGCTGTGCCAGCAATCCCTGCCTGCCACTGGAGCCAGGGAATGAGTGGACACTTGAGGGTCAGGGCTGTTGTTCCCAGACCCACACAGATAATTCTAGTGAATCTGTTCTTCATGGGCTTTTAAATTTCCTCATAAACTCAGGAAGAAACCTGCTATTCCAATGTGAAATAACTCACTGCTCCAACATTAAACAAGCCCTGTGGTGGTTCAGGAGAGCACTCTGCATTCCCAGGCCCTGTTTGGTGAGGGGATGTGGCAGTTTCCCCTCTCCAAGGCACTGCCCTGTCCCTCCCTGTGCAGGCACAAGGACAATGAGCTGCTGCTGGCACTGGGGGCCGTGCCCGCGCTCACCTCGCTGCTGCTCGACCTGGCTGCCCAGATTCCCCCGGAGGCTCCCGAGGGCCTGGAGCTGGTGAGAGGTGGGCAGGGGCTGGCTGGTCTCAGGCTGCCTGTGGGGACACTGCTCAGGCACAGCCCTGTCCCTGTGTCACACACAGCTGGTGTGCCCCGTGCTGCGGTGCCTCAGTAACCTGCTGGCACAGACAGACTGCCAGCGCCCAGACAGACGGCTGCTCATCGCCCTGTTCCTCATCCTGCAGTGCTTCCTGCAGCAGCACCCCTTCCTCATCCACGAGTGCCTGTGGCTGCTCAACAACCTCACAGGTCAGTGTCAGGTGCTGGCACAGCTGGGCACTGCTGGCACTGCCCTGTGTGGTTCACCTGTTCCTTCTGTGCCCACCCAGCGGATGATCCCTCCTGCTGCTCTGCTCTGCTCTCCCTGGACCTGCTGCCAGCCCTGCTGCAGCTCCTGACGTGTTCCCAGATGGGCACAGTGCTGGTAAACCCTGCCCCAAGCATTGGGGGCACTGGAGTGTCAGGAACATGAATCCCACACTGGCAGTGCTGAGTTGGGGGTGGATGGGGCAGCAGTGGCAGCTTGGCAATAGGTGTCCTGTGGTGGCAGCCACCAGCCACCTCCCCTGGAGCCACTCAGCTGTGTGAGCCTTGTCCCAGCATAAGGGTGGTCCCAAGGGAGGTGTTAGCTTGGGGCCACCTCAGAGCAGGCCTGGGAAGGCTCCTGCCTTTGCTTTGGAAGGCCACAAGCTTTAGGAGATTGGGGGCTCTGCCAGGAGTGGGTGGCACAGCTGGGTCTGCCTGGCATGGGGATGAACGTGGAGAAGGCTTCCCAAATCCATTGGTTTGGTGGGCACTTGGCTGTGGGCAAGCACCTGGCAGGACAAGAAAAAAGGTGGAGAGGGACTTCAGGCAAGGGCACCAGTGACAAAACAACGGGATGGTTTCACCCTGAGAGAGCAGGGTTAGATGGAGTATTGGGAAGAACTCTTTCCTGTTAGATGGTGAGGCCCTGGCACAGGCTGCCCAGAGAGGGGATGGGGCTTGGAGCAGCCTGGGATAGTGGGAGGTGTTCCTGGCCATGGCAGGGGTTGGGCTGGGTGAGCTTTAAGGTCCCTTCTAACCCAACCATTGCACAGCTCCATGGCATGGACAGTGGTTGGGAGCCCTCCCCAGCCTGTCAGGAATGTGCCCATGGAGCATTCACTGCTCCCTCCTGTCCCTCCCACAGGTGCTGACTGTGCTGTGCAACGTGGCAGAGAAGGGACGGTTCCAGTGCCAGCAGCTGCTCCAGCAGCCCCTCCTGGCCCAGCTCCTGCCCCTGCTCACACTGCCTGACCCTGAGGCCGTGGGGCAGTGCCTGGAGCTGCTGCACCTCCTCTTTCTGCACTGCCCAGAGGTGAGAGCTCAGGGGGCAGGACTGTAGAGGGGGTGGGGAATGATTACTGTGGGGGTTGTTGTTGTTGTGGAGGGGGATTATTGTCATAATCTGAGTCACAGTGACTGCCACACCACCCTCCACCCCCCAGCAGTCAGGCCCCTGCCCAAAGGGACTCTGTGGTGCACAGGGTGGGTGGAAGCCCTTGTTGTGTCTGCAGAGTTCCTTTCTTATTGGCAAGGACTGGTGTTGGGGCAGGTTGTTTCTACCCCAAGTTTTCTTTTGCTCCTGCTGAGGTTGCTCTGCTTGCTGCAGCTCACAGGAATGAATTCTGTGAGCTGGGCAGGCCCTGGCTCAGGGTGCCCAGAGATGCTGGATGCTCATCCCTGATGGCCAAGGCCAGGCAGGATGAGGCCTGGAGCACCTGGTGGAAGGTGTCCCTGCCATGGCAGGGGGTGGGAATGAGAGGGGCTTTAAAGTCCTTCCCAGCCAAGCACCAGCATGGTGGGGTTTACCTGGATTGGAAATGCAGCTCTGGGGAATTCCTTCAGCCCTTTCCCTGGGATGTGGTGCCTTGGGCAGACATGATCAGCTGCAGCACCCATCCAGCTCTCACCCTCTCCTCTCACACAGGCTGCTGCTGAGTTCACCAGGCAAGGTGGGCACCAGGCCCTGGAGCAGCACCAGGGCACCCCAGAGCTGCAGGAGCGGGCACAGGCACTGCTGGACATGGTCAGGCAGCCCCCAGGAGCCCCCAGTGCCTGCCAGGCCACACTGGCTGCCTCCTCCTAGGCCTCACCCTCTCCCTTCCCTCTCCTGAACTGCCAGGGGAGGAATAAACTCCTCACCCCAGTGCCCAGCTTCCCAAGGGCTGCTCAGGGCTCTGATGTGCCCAGTGCTGGCTGCATGGGGGGGCTGGTCCTTGTCACCACCCAGTGCCCCCCAGAGCCTGGAGCAGGGGCAGAGCTGCAGCCCAGGCAGACTCTCCTGTGCCAGGGAGGGTTGAGTGGCTGCATCAGCCATTCCTTGGGCTCTCAGCCACCACCAAGCTCAAGGTAAGCACATTGTGTTTATGAACTGATAAATTAAAGATACATCTTTGACATTAAAGATAATCAGTCAGGTGTCCAGCAGGTGTGTACTTCCTGTCTGCTGTCATGCACGGCTTTTCACAACGCTCTCCAGGGCCTTGGCCACTTCATCCACGCTCAGGTTGCTCAGTGGGATGCTCTTCTCCTTCCCAAACTCTGTGGGAAAACAGGCAGGGTGAGAGGGGGCAGGTGTGGGTTCCTTTCCTGCTGCAAGGCACTGATGTCACAGCCCAGGCTCCCATCACCACATCCCAATGTTCCTCCATGTGCCCAGGTTAACATTTCCAATTTCCTATTCTCCTCCTTTCCCTTGGAAAGAACTCAGAGCAGCTCAACACCTTTCCCAGTCTCCTTTTGTTAGCTCTGCCTGGGCAGAGACACATGCAAGAGCAACCCTGTGCCCTTCAGCCTTGTCCCAGCAAGGTGCCCCCCTCAGGAAAGCAGCCTGAAAACTCTCTTCCTACAGCTGTCCCAGCCTGGGCTCCACTTCCCTGCCAGTCCCACCCAGATGAGACTCCCCTGCTCTGTGCTCAAAGAGTCACTGCATCTTTTCAACAGGTCCTAAATTAATTTCTTCTAGCCCAGATGACCTTTGAGGAAAACAAATAATTTCCAAAGGGGCTTTTCTGCTTTCTTCTTGCTGTTTCACTGAAAAGGCAGTGAAAATAAAGGAGGAACAGCCACATGTTTGTGTAGTGACAGTGTTCACAGGGGTCTGAGGATGAGGGAAGAGATGGGGATCTGACTCCATGTTTCAGAAGGCTGATTTATTATTTTATGATAGATATTATATTAAAAATATACTAAGAGAATAGAAGAAAGGATTTCATCAGAAGGTTAGCTAAGAATAGAAAAAGGAGGAACGATAACAAAGGCTTGTGTCTCAGACAGAGAGTCTGAGCCAGCTGACTGTGATTGGCCATTAATTAGAAACAAC